AACTTCACAGTGTGAGACTGTGGAGGGTAGAGATTCCCCTGCCTGATTCCCAGCAGACAGCCACGGTGCGATCGTTAGGGCAAATGAGAGATTGAAACTGCCATGATAAAAGTGGAATATATATATTCATCGTAACTGTTTTCTTTTCATTCAGTTATAATTAGGAATTCATTGATACCACTTTCTCATTTCAGAACCACAACATGGAGTATCTGACGATATCCCTCTAATTACAATATGCACTTTGACATATCTATTAAAAAATGATGCAGAGATGGTCTCTATTTAAAGGACCAGTGTGTAAGATTCATTGCAGATTTCAACCAAAAGTGAAACCACTTGTCTTCCAAGCGTGTAGGAGAAACTATGGTGGCTGCAAAAACGCACAAGCCCTTATCTAGAACCAGGGTTTGGTTTTGGGGTACTGTAGAAACATCTCTGTAGAAGAGGCTATTCTAAGGTAACAAAAACACAACAATTCTTATTTTCTGACAGATCTTTCTAAATGTTACATGCTGGAACTTGAAATGCCATAAATCAGTACATACATACATAGATACATGTCTGAGTTTCATAATATTGCTGCTTCTCATTATTGGCCAGTAAATGTCCCCATATTTTTCATGCATTTTTTTCAAAGGATTTCATCATCGTCTGGGGACTATAAATATTCACAGCAAATGTCATGCCTGTCTGGCCAATATAGACACAATGATCAACCACCATCACTGTTCTTACATTTTTGTATTTTGTTGCATTCATGTGTGTTGGGTTATGTATTTAACCCGGTATCACACCGAATGTGTAATATACATGCTGGTCCACCATGGCAGTATCACATTTTCAACATGTTGTCATTATACAGTCAAGTTAGCAATTATAAATATTGTTTCTGTTGGGTAGAATGTCCAAATCCTGTTTTTTACAGTAGTAGTACTACCCTCAGAGCAGGGACTTTTCTGGGGTCAGGAACTGTGATTGAGAAACTAAAGTTAGACCCTCAATCTACCAGTTGAAGCACAGGTAAACGACTTCAAAGCGATTTACAATTTGCCTCTCATTGACCCTTTTACACACATCAATGGCTGCAAGATATCGTGCAAGGCATTGCCCCAATCATTGGGAGCAGTTGGGCTTCAGTGTCTTGCTCAAGGACACTTAAGCATGTTGCCGTCAACCTTGAAATCAGTAGTCAACCCTCTATACCTGCTAAGCCACAGCTACAGGTCCGGTAAAGTTTCTGTGTTCCTAAAATGGGTTCTGGCCTCCTGGAAAAGTTTCTATGATGGCATTTTAAATGTTTTGTTCATTTAAAAAAGGTTCCCCAGGCCACAAATCTATACAGTTATCTTAAACAAATCAACAGTAGTGAACGTCTCCTGATACACACACAGGATCCACTACAACAGCCCTTAATATGTTTAAATGAGATCGATACAATTGGCTAGCAGAGGTTTTATGTAGTAAACACACCATTAGCAATGACTAACAGCTGTGAGGTGAAATAAGTCTGTCCATTACTGAGCTGAGGGAGCTGCCAAGGGGCCACACGTTGAGTGCTGTGGCTCTATCAGGGCCCGAGTACTAATGCAGGCCGACACCTACTCTCCGGTCAAGTCAATGAGATATATGCTAAATGGTCCCAGCTACATGGGAATACAGGCCACATATGGTAAAGGGTACTAAAAGGGTAGGATTAGCAATTTAAATACCTTGTTCTGACTGCATGTGAATGGGCCACCGGGGAGTAATGATGCTAACACCCCTCCCTTCTTCACTACGGACAATCTGTGCAGTGCACAAGCTGCTATGGACGAGCACTCACTTTCCCTTCAACCTCTTGAGCTTCCTGTCTTCCTTTCAGTAACACACACACACACACACATACATGTTTAATACGAATACATTTTTAATATACTGTTATGTATACAGTCACAGTAAAATATGCAATGTAAGTTTTATGCCGTAGTCAAGTGTGCAGTCACCTAGGCATGCATGCAGAACAGCAAACAGGCAAACGTTCACATACTGTAGCAAACCATCAAAAGGAGCACATCAGTCAGGAAATGCAATCACCCAAAGCAAATATAGCCCACCTCCACTGTTTTCACACACAGCAAAACAGTCACTCAAATTACCTTCTGTGGTTGACCACATACACAAACAGCAGCAAATGACCTTGCCAATGCTCACGGTCCCAGAGGACATCTCCATGATTTGTCAGAAGGATACAGCCAGCGGATATTATCTATCCTCCACAAGGGGAGATTTTTGAAGGTGGATGCTGATGATTTTTTGGACTGGAGTCGCTGATTATAGATAATCTCTTTAAATGTGACAATTTTTGTGTCAAAATGTCTGAGTATTTAACTACTTTTTTTGTTATTATTCTAGTGGTGATTGCAGACGGAAATTGGGCAAACACACAATTTGATGGAATGGTGCAGCCATTTTTTAATACATTGTAAACCACTGACAGTATATAATCAGTGGACAAAGCTTCCGGGTCTGTGAAATGAACCCAATGTGGAAGTGTCTTAAAGCATTCTTTCTAATGGCCAGCAGGGGGAGCTCTGTCGGCTGCAAAAAAGAGGTCTCATAGTATTGAGTCTTATGGGGAAATGAGCCTACTTCTCACTTGATTTATGAGCTCAGTAAACAGTTTCCTAATGATTTTATGGTCTCAGTCTCTAGTTTCAGTCTCCTTCCATACAGCATGATGTTCATTTAGTAAATAATGGTCCCATTTAGAGTAAAATAGACGATAGAGCAGGGTATGCTTTAGGGAGTAGCTACCTTGTGATTGATAAGTCATTCTCAGTGAGTCTGAAACTCAGATCACACTGTCAAACTAGGTGGTGCTGATTAAATATCTGCCATTGTTTCCTGCTATGGATAAGATGAAACTAAGCCAATGAGAGCAGCTCAACCTGAAGTACGCCACCACTGCTGGCTCCAAAAACATCAACATGGTGATGGCCATAATGCCAAACTTGAAACCTCAAAATGGTATGCCACAAACCAATGGGTGAAGTCAAGATAGGCTCACATTTAACGTAAACGCTATGTAAAGAAGTAGTCAATGCACAACATGTGATACTGTCAGAGAGAGGGGGAAAAGGTGGTTTTGACAACTTTAAAGCTACTTAAAGTGGAATAAAAGGGTAAAACTCAATGTTACGGGTTACGCGGTATGTAAACAATCCTGGATCCCCAAAATTATTCAGTGAAAATTACTATCAGATGATCCACCACACTTAAACACCACATCACTTTCAAAGCACAATTATGGTGATATTCTTTATTTTATTACTGTGTACAAATCCTGTGAAAAGACCCAAACCAAAAATGCAATGATTCTACTGCATATACATACATATCAAAACGTGCTGTATCTTCTTTCTCTGTGTCATATAGCTCGATTGTTGCCGAAAAACTATTAAAAACGCATCAATGAGTCGCACTTTTGCACTGGGTGAGATGTTCCTTCATTACCATGAACACACACGCTGTTTATTTGGACTCAATCACATATACACCATCCGCTGCCCCAAATACTCACTAGAGCACCAAATAGTCCCGAAAAAATGCAATTTATTTACTAAAACAGTTAAGAGACCAGCTATTTTATGAAATTAGTGTGCCTTAACAGGACATGTACTTCAAGTAGCCATTGCTTTCAAGCTTCAGGTTCATTAGACTGGCATTCATTTATACAGCATGTTGCTCAGAAGCCCTGTTTGCAGGAGACATTAACACTAGTATTTTACAATCTCCTTTCTGTGAATGATTGTGATTAAGAGCAGTCTTTAGCATGAGGTCATCGTGTTAGATTATCTGCCAGTTGTAATTCTGCAGGTACTTAACCAGAGTTTTTCTTCTCGCTGCGTTTGTAACAGGATTATGACAATCTGCCGCTGAGCCCCGTAATCAAATGTTGCACCTCCGCATGCACAACGTGTAATGTGCCACCCTCCCCATTCATCCCTCTATTTATGTTACACTGTTACACTCTGCCTGCTGGAGATAGCCCCAGAAGTATTCCTCCACATGGGTTACCCTCAGGGATGTATTACAGCGTAAACGTGCCAGAATACAGTTTACACAGTTTAGAGTTTACAAAATTTTATAGAAATGTTCATGACCTAGATAGGATCATGTTTTTGTTCCATCATTTGATCTACTACTAAATTCCTGGTTCTATTTGGAGACAGCTTTACTAGGGAGGATTATCAGTCATTACCATGTCATCTGGTGAAGCATGGAAGAATCAAACGTTTAAAATGCACAAAATATTTTGAAATGATAATGAACCCTGGAATGCACATGCTGAGTACCCAGGTTTTGAATGGTAAATAGGTTGTGCTTGTATGACGCCTTCCTAGTTCCAATCATTGAAATTGCTTTTATACTACATTCATACAGTGATGGCAAAGGCCATCGCAAACAGAAACTCAAACAGTACTGGCAGCTACAGGGGTCGGAGCTAGCTAGGACTCTTCCTGCAGCAAGAAGACACTGCAAAAACAACAATGGCGGCTGCAGTTCTGTCAGAAGTGGACAGTATTTCTTCATTGAAAGAAGAGCAAAGAATGGCACGGAAGGCTTTTCTTTAAGACTTTTGACTGATGTTAATAGTTTGTTGAACTGAATTGTCACCAGAATTGTTGCATTCCAGGCTCATAAAATCGCCGATAAAAAATATTTTTTGAAAGCGCTTGCCCTTTTCCAAACAGTTACCTAAGACTGCTTCCCTGATCATGATATGATTGTACATACCCAGTTTGTGTCAATGTGTTGACGCAGCGAAACATTAGATGAAGTTGGCTACAATGACAGTTGCGAAGGACAGATAGGAAGCACAATTCTAGGAAGGCAGTTTTGCCCCGTCACTGCCTGCTACAGTGCCTCTCATTGTGACACTTAAAAGTGCAGCTTTGCCCAAAAAGAACCTGTGCTTTGCCTCAGCGAAACATGATGTATTGTAATTACATACATACCCATTGGAGTGCCGACCCCGTAGGCTCTGGAATCAATGAGGCCTCCGATCTGGGTAAGGTTGCAGTTGCGCTGTGTGACAAACTCGATGGTGGTGGATTCCATGAGGAACGCGTAGTCTGAGGTGAGCACACGGTGAATGCCTTCCTCGATGTTCTTCACCATCACCGAGTGTCTCCGGCTGCTCATGAACTCCCACATCTTATCATACGTGGAGATCTTTGTTTTCTGTGAGAGGAGACAGAGATTGGCATTGTGAGTAAGAAAAGGGAATCTACATAGACTTAAAGCAATATAAAATCAAACCATGTCTCATTCATTCATGGTAGAAAGCAGTACTGTGTTTTGATGGATGTGAAGTTCTAGGTTGGAGGTTAATGAAGAATTATTTTTGTACCAGCAGCACCTAATGTTCAGAGTGAATAAAAGAAACAATGACAGGCAGAGCATTCACATCACTCATTTAAATACTGCCAATGTACGTAGCTCTATCAAGGCCTGCAGAGACATTTACATTCAATTATTTCCCAAATTTCATTAAGAAAATTTGCTTCAACAGAACTTTTTTTTTTGCAGCTCCAGCAGCAATATATGCCTTCTGTCTGCCTCAGTCATTATTGCTTGCGAGGAGAATATAGGCTGAAGCAGATGAGCATGCTAAACAGCGGCAGTGGTGTGATTTTGTGCAACCGGCACATCTCTGCTGTCTGTGCTGCTGCTATCACATATAGTTAGGGGCAGCAGCAGCATTGTCAGTAGCAGTGTGCCTCGCTTTCTACACCTGTAATCACGGAGAAAAATCCAAGAGCGCATTACTCTCCAGGGAAGCGGATTTGAAGGCATTTTTGAAGCCATTTGAAACCTAATTAAGTCACATCTTCAAGGTCCTGCCCGCCATTATTGTGTGTAATGACTTTTTGTGGCTGGTCGATATTTTAGATCAACTGGGTGATTTGCGGAGTGCCTATCAGAATCTTTCAGAGTCACCCTTGACAAATCAGGCGATTGAGCATGCAAGCTTCAGACTGCTGATAAGGCGAGAGCAGTGGCTGTGAATACATGGAGAGTCAGATAACCACCTACACTTCAAGTCAGGCAGAGAGCCACGGTGCGCTTCCCAGAGCCCCCACACAGGGATTCAGAGCTGATTACGCTTAAACCATAAGAGAGATCTTGAAAATGCGACGGGCACACGCGGCGAATAGCTGTCAACCCGAAATAGCAGGCAAGTCCAAATGAATCCATCCATAACGCTGCAGAATATGTCACATTCTTTTTGTTTAATCAGACTGAATCTGAATACTCCAGCTCCGTCAGTAACCAGTTCCAAAAAATGCTCTTTGCTGTCTCATCCTCTCATGTCATCACCTGTGTGATAAAGTTTTCATCTGCCTGCCTCTGTTGGAGAATGCTGTCTTCTTTTTTTTCACACATCTGGAAAAACATTGCAGTTTAATCCTCCATCATATTGAAGTGGCTGCAGTTTAGCAATGCTATACAATCTCCTCCTGAATTCAGATCTGTGCTGTAGATTTTAGGCATTTTGGAAATCACAGTCACTGGGAGCTGAAAGGCCCCCAGCTGTATGTTAGGCAGTGGTGAGTGATGTGGGGTGATGGGGAGAAAAGAACCAGCCAAAACCTCAGCCTTAGTTAGATCAGCAGGGAGAGTGAGTAATCCTCTCTATTACTGCTTGAGTGAATCTTTATACTGTGTGTTAGCTGGTTTCTGTCATGTGATTGCTCACACCAAGACACATTCAAGACTGACAGGATACAGTATCTGATCCTTTTGTTGATCAGTTGATTCAGCTTATCAATTCAGTATGGGTTTGGGAAGGCACATTATTTCATAATATCCGAATAGCATTAAAGTCGCAACAAATTTGCATTGAAATTATCATTTGCATGAGCAAATATAAACATTGCTTGGTGCGTTGAGCTGTTTTAAACCAATAAATCTGGTAAGGATGTCAATATTAACATGTAAAATAAAATATATGACCTCAACAATTATATTTGTATCTCACCTACTATTGTCTTTTCCTGCTAAAAGAATCCTGTGACTGAAACTTTTTGTTCTATTGTTCATCATCATCAACAATCATAATGAATGGTGATATGAGCATTTACTAATCTTCCTTGAAAAATAAATTAGATCAGTTGGTTTAGAATGAAGCTTTAAATTGAAGAAAATTCTTACAGTCAGAGTTATTGACCAAAAACCCCTTTTTTGGTGTTAGGTTGGATCATCTTCTTGCTACTCTGTTCCAGCTGTTTCACACTGGACTTTTCTGTGTCACAGATTTGGTTAGGTTTAGCAAAAGGTCGTAACTAACGTAACGCACCTGATGTAACTTAAATATGTTACATAAGTTGACTTACGCACATTTCTTAAAATAAATTGTTTACTTTTGGCTTCACATTGGACACAAACAGCGGCATCCAGGGTTAAAGTCCTTTGTTTGTTTAAGCCAATACATGAAATGGGTCAGTAGTTACTGTTACTGAGTACTGGCACTAACAGCTGCATAACACTCTGCCCTGATTGGCTAGTGTTTGTTTCCTTCACTGGTTTATTTGGTTAAGGTTAGAGCCAATCAGAGGCAACATTTTGCCTACATAACTGTGTTCCTGTGTAAACATAAGCCGATCAGCCATAACATTCTGAGTACCTGGGCACCCTGGTGTTCATAATGTTCTGCAGCCCATACCAGCAAACTGTGATGCACTGTGTGTTCTGACACCTGTCTATCAGAACCAGCATTAAGTGTTTCAGCCCATGACCCTGTCCCCAGTTCTTTTCCTTCCTTGGAGCACTTTTGATAGGTACTGACTACTGCAGACCTGGAACACCCCACAAGAGCTGCAGGTTTGGAGATGCTCTGACCTAGTCGTTGTGGTTAGGGTTCTGCTGAATTAGGGTACTGGCACCTGCTTTGGTCGAATTGAGGCACTGGTTTAAGCCATCCATCCACCCCACCACCTCCATATGAGGACTTTTTCGCTCTTTATACTACCTCTTCTGACTTCTGGTACTCTTCTGGTACCTACAGGGTAATTTTGAAGCAGATTGACACTGACGAAGCTGCTGTATTCGAAGACTTGGGAGTGAGACCTGTTTGTGAAAAGGTGTGATTGATATAGGTAACACAAACCTGATGCTTAAACTTTGTGTCAGGTCTGTTTTAATGTTTAACTAAGTAACTTCATATTTCACATTGTTCTCCGTTATTTTGTCCCCCATATATAAATGTCTTTATGTCCTAGCTATTGAGCAGTGGAGACATTTGAATAAGCATCCACAGCATAAGGTCTTAAAAAAGCATTCTACTCAGTTTCTATTTTATGTAAAAAACCTACATTTAAATTCCTAGCACAAACCTCAACTTCCCATTCAGAGAAATCCCCTGCAGGCCCTGTTAGACAGCTATTCCACCCCTCCACAGAAAGTTCAGCTTCTCCTCTGAAAACAAGACATTAATTGTTCTATTTGCTTCACTTCTCTGAGCTGTGCGAATAGAGGAGAGGAGCGGGTTTGGGTCAGCAAGTCCTGAAACATCACGTAACAGCTTACAGTAGCCATGGAGCCTATTTTCTGGCCAACAGTGCCGAGTCAACAAAATAACAAATCAAACTAAAGCGGTGCTCCAGGATCTTGGGGAACAGGAAACAAAAGTGCACAGTATGATTACTGTGCACTTTTGGTGGGATGATTCCCACTTCTGTAAAATCAAATAGTAGACTTAAAGAGGGCAGACTCATTTAACATGATAATGTTATTAGAGATGCAAGACTATATTTACTTTGTGATATTCATCAAGAGTAGAGCAGATTAATGCTGTGGGGTTTACTGTTAACATCTCCAAAGTTCTTTAAAAGAGGAACTTTTTTGAGTTAGAAAATAAATATATGTATAGTCACTTTATTAAACTATGATTGGGAAGGTTCAGTGTGTGAGTGTCAGAATAAACTTTGTTGAATTTGTGTTGAAGCTAAAACACAGCAACCATTATAACCAACATTAAAATACAGTAGCATAGGCTGACCCTATTCAGCTACTGACAGTTCACGCAGGAGGCAGGTTTATTTAAGATGCGAAGATTAGTTATTGTTGACTGTGGGTGATTCATGAACCAGAGCTAACCTGGTGAAATAGTGGTTCTTCTGATCCACACTTCTCTTCCCAGTAGTTCCCATTTGGATCCACAATGGCAGTGTTTTTACCTCCACATACTATCTTACCATCACAGCTTAGCTCATAACTAATCACAAATGTATGCTTGCGCTGCGTTCACGAATGTAACTAGATTAGATTATATTAGATTAGATTTAACTTTATTGTCATTGCACAAGTACAGGTACTAGACAACAAAATGTAGTTAAGCATCTAACCAAAAGTGCAAAGAAGTATAGTGCAGAGTAATGTGCATATGTACATGGATATATATATAAAAAAAACATTATTGATATATATATGAATATACTAGCAGGATATTTCCATTAAGTATTAACAGAATGAATAGAGTGAGGTGAATACACTAAGATATATACAGCTATTAGATATTTACAGTATGAACAGATTAGCAGTATATAGCAGGTTGATACTGAAGCAAAATATTACAAATGTAAAAATGTATTTCAAATTGGATTTCAGTGAGTCAAGTGTGTAGGATTTAGTGGCATCTAGCGATAGAATTCCAAGAACGACGGAGAAACTATTCTCTTCTTTAGTTGTTTCCTATTTTATTTTGTCCTTTTCCTCTTCTGTTGTCTTGTTTTGCTCCACTTCCTGTCTTTGTCTGTTTCCCCTCCAGGTTTGACTGTTTACCTCACCGTGATTATTTTCACCTGTCTTGTTATCCTTCCCCTCACCTGTGTGTTTATTCTTTCTGGTTACCTTTTCCCTTTTTTCTGTTTTTGCGTTTTATGGATTTATACTTATTTTATCTGCCTGCCTGTATCTGTTTAACACATGCTGCAGAAATGGTCACTATTTAAACGACCAGAGTGTAGAATTCAGTGGCTCTAGTGGTGAAGTTGCAGATTGCAACTAACCGAAACAGTTCGCCTTCCAAGCATGTAAGAGAAACTATGGTGGCCTGAAAACTCACAAAAAACTCAAAAGACCCTATCGAGAGCCAGTGTCTGGTTTGGCCATTCTGGGCAACAGTAGAAACACGGCGGTTCAACATGGTTGAATCATAGAAGACCTGCTCCCTCTGAGCT